ACCTGCACTCACCAAGCGAAACGCAAAGGTAAACCTCTACTTCACGCTGGTTTTCTGTGAGGTCGTGGTACTACCCCGGTTCGAGCCGGCCCATCCGTGCGACAGCAAAAGCTGCCGCGTGGCTCTACCACTAAAAAAACACTGCGCAGGACCGGATTATATTTTTTTTTTATAGGAGAGGTGGCAAACGAGCATGCGGCTCACCTGATGGTAAGTGACTACCGCCGCCCATGAACAACTGCAACACCAGGGGAATCGCAGATGCGTTGCCGGCCTTTTAAAAAGGAGTAGGCTCTTTTCTTGAAGGTCCCTAAGTCGTATCGGTCCGGAAAAATCGCAGATGGTAATCGATTCCACAAGGAGGTCGTGCGAGGAAGAAAACATCTTCTAAATCGCACAGTGGTGGACCGCCAATCATCCAGATGGTGTGGATGGTATCGGGAGTTCTGCCGCGATGTGCGTTCGTGAAATTTGGCGGCTGGGATTAATCCGAACAATTCCTCAGAGCACTCCCCATGGTAGATGCGAAAGAAAATGCAAAGGGATGCAACATCTCTTCGCAGTGCCAATGAATCGAGCCGATCGGAAAGGGCTCGGTCGTCGACAATTCGAGCCGCTCTGCGTTGGATGCGGTCAAGTGGAAGGAGCTGGCACTGGGGAGCCCCTGCCCAGAGATGGGAACAGTATTCCATGTGAGGCCGAACTTGCGCTTTGTAAAGTAGCAGGCGGTGTGCCGGCATGAAATACTGTCCCGCTCTGCTGAGCACGCCAAGCTTTTTAGAGGCCAATTTGGCCTTCCCTTCCAAGTGACCACGAAACTGCACGTCACTCGATATGTCGACTCCGAGGATACCGATACTGGCTGAGGCAAGAAGGGGAGTGCCTTGAAACTGAGGAGATACGACAAAGGGGTTCTTTTTAGCGGTAAACGCGCAAACTTGTGTCTTCTGAGGATTAAACTGGACTAGATTTAGTCGCCCCCAATCCGAGACTTTGCTCAGCAAAGACTCGACTTCAGACACAAGTTTGTTCCGGTACTCAGCGACGTTTTCCCGAGAAATATTGGCACAGCCGGTGTATAGAGCATCACCAGTGCTGTCATCCGCATAGCAATGAATGTTACCAGTTAGCAACATATCATTGATATGCAGAAGAAACAGCGTTGGTGATAGCACACAGCCTTGTGGAACACCAGCGTTAATAGGCTTGTAGTCAGAGCATGCACCGTCTACAACGACCTTGATGCTCCGATCTGCAAGGAAGCTGGTGATCCAATTGCACAATTTCTCGGGAAGCCCATAGGAAGGGAGCTTCGAAAGAAGCGCTTTGTGCCAAACCCGATCGAAGGCCTTCGCAATGTCCAGACTAACGGCCAACGCCTCCCCCTTGGACTCTACTGCCTCCGCCCATCTATGGGTCAGGTAGACCAGAAGATCACCAGCTGATCGACCCCGACGAAAACCGTATTGGCGGTCACTAATCAGCTGGTGATCCTCAAGGTACCGGATGAGCTGGCAGTTAATAATGGATTCCATTATTTTGGAGAACAAGGAGGTGATCGCGATAGGCCTGTAGTTGGATAGGTCTGAGCGGTCGCCTTTTTTAGAGATCGGGTGGACAAAAGCTGTCTTCCATGAATTCGGGACTACGCCTTGGGAGTAGGAGTACCGGAAAAGACGCGTTAGGACCGGTGCCAACTCCGGAGCACACGTCCTCAGCACAATTGGGGGGATTCCGTCAGGCCCACTCGACTTCTGGATGTCCAGGGAGAGCAGTGCTTTGCGAACCGAGCGCTGTGAGAACAGCACATCCGGCATGGAGCACTCACACCGCGGGATGGTCGGCGGTGTTTTCCCCCCGTCATCAAGAGTCGAGTTGGACGCAAAAAGGGAGCCTAAAAGGTCGGCTTTGTCTTTTGCGTCATGGGCCAGTGAGTCATCCTCCGTGTGCAGAGATGGTAGTGATGGCTTACAGAAATTCCCTTGGACAGCCTTGGCGTGAGACCAGAATGCACGGGTTCCCGAAGGAAGGCGAACTAGTTTCTCGCCAATTATGCCTATGTGCTCTGACTTTGCCTTGGCAATAACTCTTTTGAAGGACCTGGAGGCGAAGTTATACTTCTTTTTGAGTGTGCTGGTGTTTACATCCCGAGTCACCGAAGCCGCAGCCCAGGCTTGATAACACTCCTGCTTACTGCGTAATGCAGTCTTACAGGAGCGACCAAACCAAGGCTGAGATCTGCCTCCGATGGGTACCACAGATGATGGAATAAATAGTTCCATTCCCTGTAGCACCACATCAGTGACAGACAAGCAAAGGTACACTCTTTATTCCCTTCCTGTCACTGTCCGATAACACAGGAAATCAAAACGACTGGAGATAGGTCAGGCCCAGAACCAACGGTTTTATGTGCCAGAGCCAAAAAAATGTGAGTCACTAGTTTCATGAAGTAATACTGGTTTTAAGAAGAACTTTGAAATAACAAGATTAGACTTATTGTATGTGTTAAGATTTTGAACATGATATATTTTGTTTTAATATATATATATGTATATATATATATATATATATATATATATATATATATATATTTATTTATTTATTTATTTATTCTTTATTGCATTCCTTAAAACAAAAGAATACAAAGGGCAGACTTAATGCCTTGAGGCATTCTCTACCAGTCATAACACTACACCAAATAATAATTAACTACATAATACATACAATTTATTAATAAATAAACTATACATATATGACGTATACATACATATATACAAATATATGGCATGATTGTACAAATATTTACATACAAATATACATATTTAAATACATATATAATTAGTACATACAAATACCTATGAATATATGCGTTTCTTTAGCAATACATATTAAATGGATGAATCATGTAAAATGCGTTTTCTTCAATAGATGATTACGGATTTATTTTATTTTCGAAATTTTTTTAAGAGCATACTTATTGGGTGCTTTTCTGATGCAATCGGGCAAGGAGTTCCAAAGGCGTAACGTAACTATTTCATTCATTTAAATATAATATTATTCAAATGAATGCAATAGTTGAGATATTAATTTTTTTTAAAGTCTTTATGATTCCCATAGTCTAATCTTGTAAATAGCTCGTATAGCTCTTTTCTGTAGTATAAATATATTCTCAAAATTATTTGCTGCTAACTACAACAATAACCCATAGACTTAAACTATGGAAATAATAGTATGCATAATCTTGCTATAATCACATGAATTAACTGCGCCATCTTACTAACTGAATTCTCATCGGAACTAAGTTTTCTCGACACGCTTTTAATGTCTCCATTGTGAGCTGAAGCCAATTGTGGTACGAATAAAAAAATAGAAGGAAGACTGGGAAATCTACTAATTTAATTATTTTATCGTTAACTTATTTAGTAAGAGTAGTAGCCCTCTTTACATTTGGTAAATAAAATTTAAGGCAATTCGTTTTGCTGGCGTTAAAAGGCAAGTTATTGGTTGTAAATGAAATTGTAAAATTTATTTTTTTACTACGTATTAGTTATTGTCAGAATAATAACTTTTTTCTTTTAAAACTTTAAGTAACATATCAAATAACAGTTGATCTCATGCCACTAAAAAGCTAATAGCAAAAGTTATGCAACTGACAAACAGTTTTCTATTGACTTTGGTAATGGATGTTGTTGCATTGATACTTATGACTTGTTTTAATGAACATAGAAATTTGCTTTAAGTAAATATATCGCACTTTCTCGTCCAATGTATAAAACAAAATATTTTATTTATGTTATTTAAATTTATATGTGCATACTAATTTACAGGGGTCTGTGTTGTCTGGTTTCTTTTTTATTTCATGATGATATTTTGTTTTTGAATACTGTTGAAAATTGTCATCGATGTAGAATATATTATAACTGCAAAGTTGAATGCTCAAGCGGGAAGATCCTAATGAGCAGGTTTAGCCCCTACTGGGTAAAACGCTACAATGTACTTTTAGAGTTAATTAACAAGGATTTTGTACAATTTTTCTTATTTCTACTTTTCTGTAAATAACGTTACCCGCACACTAGGATTTTCTCCTGTATCGTAAGGGCAGTTTATATACATAAATTGCACAAGGACAAACATACAGATTCGGAACAATAATTTTTAGGCCATACAAATACTTGTTCCGTGCGGAATTTGAACCCTCGGCCCTAGGCGCTATAAATCAATGCTAAGCCGCTCCGCCAAATAATTAAGTTAGTTTATAACGGATTATTTTTGAAATGAAAATGGGCCTGAGGCGCTCCGCCATTTCTTCACGTGGGGTGCCACCAGCGACGTATATAATCCAATGTTATACTATAAAGAAATCACAAGTTATAAATAATTATATCTGTTATACTTATTAATTTGTATATTTTATGGAATAAGCATTGGATCATCTGTAATATTAAAAAATAAACAATGGTTATTTATCATTATCATTATCATTACAGTCCTTCACATGTCCACCTAATGGAAATAGGTCTCCTCATCCATAGGAAATTATATTTTATGCAATTTAATATAATATTATAAATTATGTTTTAGACAATTTATCAAAAATTAATTATAAAATAAATAGCAATAGAAATAATGTTTGTTTTCTGTTGCATGAAACAAGTTATTACATAATCCACTATATGAAAATTAGAAACTAAAGTAAAAAATTACTTAATAACGAATATTTCTTTTTAATATTCCACATTAATTTTTATATTATTATTTGAAACTGCCATATGATAATTGCAAATATTTACAAAGCAAACTTATTTGCATATACATTAGGGTCCAAACTGAATCGAATTTCTTCTTAACCTAGTTGAAAGACCCGTGTAGTGTAGACAGATATACAGCAGGTGGGGGAGAAATAATAAAACTGTATGGCGGGTCCGCCATCTCGCCAAACATTGCTTGACATCACTCGATGTCAGAAAATTAGAAAAATAAAAATTATAAATAAATAAAAAATGAAATTCACTCTCGTTGTCGTCCTTGCCCTGGGGGCCTTCGCAGCAGCTGAAGATAGTGATAATACAATGGAGATCGCGATAGGTTTCGTGAAGGATTGCAAAGGAGATTACATCCTGTGTGTTAAGGTCTATAATTTTATTAATAAAGTGAAAGTGCTTAGTGAGAATATTACGTGCCATAGTGTCTGTGTGTAGTCAAGTTTCATGAACTTCGGTTGTTTTTTTCACTTGTGGTTAATCTAGTCTGACGATCATAATCGTGTAATTGATCTTAATACCGCGTCACTTTATGTAGGTTCATATTTCAATGAGTATTACACTCAGAGATTTAATGTATTTTTTTTTATTTTTTAGGAAAAATTGCTGAAAATTGTTGACAATCTAAGAACATCTAGGAGTATTACGATCGCGGAAGGTGTTGTATTAAAGGGAGAACCTGACATGCGGTCACCTAAGAAGCTTGATGCTCTACCAGTGGACCCTACAGCAAGGAATGCTGAAGTTAATTACAGACTCGTAGATGGAGTTGTCAACTTATTTGAAACACACGCTATTGAGGTAAAAATGAACCCCGCGGATAAAGAATCTGTACAAAGATCTCTCGAGGAAGGTATGGATATCATTTTAGTATATTTTTTAATCGAAATTAGTAAATACTTTAATACAGTAAATTATTACAGATCAATTTCACTAAGCATTGTAAACGTTAAAGCTTAGATTTTCTACAGTTAAAATAATTCGCCTTTTATATTTTTTCTATATTTTTCTTCTTATATTTTCATAAATGTAAAATATGAATGACAAATAATAACTATTATTTTTATATTAGGTCGTGGAAAGAAAAAAGGAGGTGGAATGGGCGGTATCATTGGACTCCTAGCGGCCAAGGTTCTTCTCGGAAAACTGTTCATCGTCAAGCTGATAGCTCTGAAGGCTTTAGCGGTAGCCAAGATCGCCTTGGTCCTTGGCGTCATCCTTTTAGTAGCATGGTGTATGAAACAAGATCATACGAAGACAACTTACGAAGTTGTAGCTCATCCCCATCATCACGAATCCCATCATCCCGCTCACGTGGAGCACATCTCGCATGACTCCGGTCATGGAAGTGGATTCTCTGGCTACGGTTCAGACTGGAGCAAGAACCTCGAAGAGTCCCAGAACCTAGCTTACAGCGCCTACTCACCACACAGGAAGTAGATAAATAATTAATGCCAAAAAGTTAACATCTAGCTTACTTGTAACCTCTATTGTACAAAGATTTTATTTATTAAACTATTTAATTTATTACAATTAATTTATTGATGTTTATTTTAATAAATGTTTAAGTTATAACGTTCGTTTTGTTTCCTCAATTCCCTTTCGTTTACGATGTAACAAAAATAATTTTCTAAAACGTAATTGTACAAAACTATTGCATTAATCGACATTCAAAACTGCAAATACCTATATGAAATAATATAAAATAATGTCCAAATTAAAACTTGAGCTAAAGTTATTAACCTTTGAGATATATTTATGGGAATTCATTACTAAATTAAATTTTAACAGACACTTGATAATACTTTTACTAGATTTATAAATGATCATCATCATCATTACAGCCCTTCACAAGTCCACTGCTAAACATAGGCCTCTACCAAGGAATGCCACAAAGCACGGTCCTGAGCCACCTCCATCCATCGACTTCCTGCAAGTCTTACCAGGTCGTCACTTTAAAAATGTTACCTAATAATTACCATGACGTTTCCGTTATTCACTCTCTCCGTTTTGTTTATATATATGCTCATTCCACATTTTTAAATGAGCAAATGAATATAAGTTATTAGAGAAATCTTACATTGGGCCAACAGTTAACGAATCCACGTGTTTAAGAAACTAGCAGAGCAGAACAGGTTTTAAGTAGATATACATTTAAGGCGTTACTTTCTATTTATGGACCTACATATTATAATGTGATCTGCCCAATGTTATATTTATTATTGGCTCAATTTGACATTATTGTATTACTGGTATAGTTGTAGCACGAATGGGTCGGCTCGACCGGGGAAGGACCATGCTCTCATAGAATACCAACGTAAAATATCAGCTTAACGCTGCTGTGTTTCGTATGGTGAGTGTAGAAAACCGGAGACCCTTTTTATTGGAAAAGAGGCATTCCATCTTATTTCTCACGGCTGACAATGCATCTGCATTTTGATTCGCATATGAGGATAGATGTAGATGTCTATAGGCCACAGCAACCATTTACCATCAGGTTGACCGTGTGCTCGTTTGTCACCCCTATCTTATAAAGAATCCCTTTTTTGTTTAAATTAATTATATGGAGAGTGAAATTACATGAGGAAATATTTTTTATTAGTATTCAATAAGATGCATTTGTTATTATTTAAATGAAACACCTGTTACAATTTATTATAAAGACTTTCACTTGACTATTCTAAAATTTTCACTTATATGGTATATCAGAAATATGTGGTAAGAAAGTAGCCATAAATTAGAAATTTCATCTGTAACAATTTATAATGACTTGACAAACGTCTAGTCTGTACTTCTACAAAATACTACGATCAATTTGTATCCAATGATACTACTCTCGGAAGTGTAACTTGATAATAATGGAGGCGAGGAGTGATAGTTTGATAGTTTTTATATAATAAATATAAAATGATATTACGTCTATTGTTTTGGTTTATTTATATATATAAAGTATTGCATTGCTTGCGTGCAAATGCCACACACGTTTTGATGTAATAATAACTGTATGAGCTAAAAACGAAACTTTAACTTAACTGATGGTGTAATGCTTACAACTAAATTTCTTTGTTCGTTCGCATCTTTTGTCTTGTCTTGATAATAGTAATATTAAAAATAATAAATATAACAATAGTGAAAAAAAAATAGTTCTTGAATAGACACATGTTCAGAGTATGTCTCTCCCGAACTGGGAAGATATAAGCGCAGGTTTTGTCAGATTGAACTACGAACATTAGTATGATTAATCTCTTGCACCAAGGTCACTACTTCCCGTGACGAATGTGGATATTTCAAGAGAAGTAACAAACAAATATATACCTACACCTCTTATTATAATATTCTTCAGGACAAATATCGGTTCAGTGGCCAATCTCAACGGAGAGTACCCATTTGCGCAGGTCAGGACAATATTGCAGGAGTTCAAGTACAGACACTCCCTATTTACCCACTTCTTATAGTCCACCGCTTGCAACTTTACAAGGCGCAGGTTCGGTCCCACATGGAATACTGTTCCCATCTCTGGGCAGGGGTGCCCCAGTGCCAGCCCCGATTCGAATCGTCGACTACCGAGTTCTTTCCGATCGGCTTGACTCACTGGCACTGCGTAGGGATGTTTCATCTCATAATTACTTCTTATATTTACGCAAACACTACACATTTAAATAAAATTAATTTTGCGGATTTTATCGCGTATATTAACTTATTTTATATTCCCGACGTTTCGAGCACTTTACAGCACTCATGGTCATGGGGGGGGGGGGGAGAGGCACGGAGATGTATGACGTCCCAATGTCAATGTCATAGTTAACCACGGCTACCTCCAGATTAGAAATGTAATTATTAAAAATTTTATTTAAATGTTTCATCCCTTTGCGTATTTCATCGCATCTACCACGAAAAGGGCTCTGAGGAATTGTTTGGACTACTTGCAGCCGCTAAATTTCACCATCGCACATCGTGATAAAATTCGCGATACCATCCATATCACCTGGTTGATTGTCAGTCCGTCACTGTGCGATTTAGAAGAAGTGTTCTTCCTCGCATAGCTTCATTGTAGAATAGATTACTGCCAGCGACATTTCCGGACCAATACGACCTTCAAGAAAGAGCCTACTCCGTTTTAAAAGGCCGGTAACGCATCTGCAATTCCCCTGGTGTTGCGGTTGTTCATGGGCGGCGGTAGTCACTTACCATCAAGTGAGCCGCATGCTCGTTTGCCCCCTCTCCTATAAAAAACGAAGCAAGATCAGATGCACGACCAAGGTTTTCATGTGAAATCAAGACATGAGGGTAAAACATCGCCACCTTCTTGACTCTGGGTTGCCACTGATATTTTTAGAACCTGAGTCCACTTGATCAGTAGTCACAATTTCGATCACTAGAACAAAGAGATAGTTGAACTATGTTATATTTTTTATTTATGAGTGATATTGTGACCAATAGAGCTTAAAGCTTACTCTTACTAGCATTCTTCTACTTATTCTACTAACAGCAGCTACTAGCAGCTTATTCTACTAACATATAGACACTACACACACAACAATATCGAACCGGATGTCGGTCACGGCGCCCAGCCTAAAGACAGATTAGCCATCCGCGCGGGACAGGATTATAGTGACCAAGTATATTCAGAAGCGCAGATGCACTTACTTTCATAGTCAGATGAGACGGAAAGCCGACACGACCGGAGAGTGATCAGGCGCAGGACCAACGGTTTTACATGCTTTCCGAGACACGGTTCTGAGACACCGCCAACTTCCTGAATCCTGGCAGTTGCTAAGAATTTATTGACGGAAAACTCAATAAAACTGATTTTTTTTGGTCTGACCAGGCAGTCGAACCCAGCAAATCAAGATCAGCAGTCGCGTTTTTAATGCTAACCACGAGACCAACGAGATTGTCATGATCGTACATAATCAGATGTTAATACTGAATATAGTAAAGTTGAAATAGTTGTACCCTGCCGCTCGCCCCTAATGTTTATTGACGGACTTCATATGTCTTCGAAATATTTGTATTTTCTGAACAATGCAGATTTTGCCAATTGGTTTGAGAACTTTGTCTCAATTTGAAGATAAGTTTTAATAATTAATAATTTTATTTATTTTAAATGGACTTGTTATATGTTAAATTTATACATTATATTAATCAAATTACCTTTCACTTTTTATTATCATGACATTGAGTTGACAACTGCTTGCCAAGAGTGGCAACTATTGCAAATATACGCTACGAGGAAATCTGTGGGCCTATGTTCAGCAGTGGACTTTAATAGGCTGTAATGCATGGATGTATAGACGATAATCTACCAGGAGCACATGACCCACTGAGAGGTGAAATTATTAAATCAACAGTAACATTACCTATGACAAAATATTCTCTATAAGGCACCCACATATAGAGGAGGCCTATATTCGGCAGTGAACTTTAATAGGCTGTAACAGTAAAGGTACGGGTCGACTAGCAGAATATGCCGACTAGCATTAAATCCGCCCATTGCTACCTTGTTTTGAGGTGTACGCAATTAAATAAATAAATAAATACACTACCGCAGCACTGAATATTTTTTATAGAATATGAGTAAAAAGCGAGCACGAAGCCCAACTGATGGTAAGTGAATGTTTTGGCCCACATCTCCATCTATCCTCGATTAGAAAACAAAAGGCAGATGCGTTGCCACCCATAAGGACTAAGATAGGATGCGTCTCATCCTGTAACAAAGGTCTCCAGTTCTCTACACTCACCATACTAAATACAGCAGTATTAAACCGCTATTTTATGCTGGTATTCTGTGAGAGCGTGGTCTTAACTCAGTCGAGCCGACCCATTCATGCTAAAACCATAATATAGTTGCAGCAAGGCTCTACCACGTAAAATATATATTAATATATCTTTACACATACCATTATTGAAGTTAAACCTTATCATTATCGTCATCATTATCATATTTTGAGTGAGATTGAGAGGTTCTATGGGCAGCAAGTTAAACCTATTAAATTTTAATGAAAAAGAAGCATGGATTTTATTAACATTAATAGTCATAAGTAGAGAAACTAACCATTTCCGAGAAAGTTATATTTAAACGTAAAATTGCTCTTCTATTAGATTTATTTCCTAACAAAGTGCGAGTCATGCTCTGCGTCCATAACATAATCTAAAGTGACTGGCACTTATGCCCGATTTCTATACTCACATACGTTTCTTCGGGACGTTCCGTTTTATAAACGTATCCGTCTTGTATTGTTATACGTTTTATATGAAGATTTCGTTCAGAAACAGAACCAGAAACGAAAAATTTTTTATTTAGTATAGATAATAAATAATAACTATTATAAAGTAAGAAAGAAAGTCCCTATTTTGTTTAATTTACTACTTGTTCGGAATACAACCTCTGTCCTGTGAAGCTATATCTTCAAGCTATATCGCCTGTCCTTTTCTACTGT